TCTGAAGGCTTGCTTACTGGGCTACAAACTGGGAACAAGTTTCTCCTCCTCTTGCCCAGGGGAAAGTCCCCGGACCCGTGGCAGAAAGTGCCCTGGTTGAAACCAGTGTCGAACTGCGCTCCACCGTCACAAAGCTAAGATGTTCCTCAGAACGGAGCTTGGTGATCGCTTGTCGACTTTGTCAGCGTTACTAGTAATGCAAGTAAGCTGCTAATAACGCCTTAACAGAACGGGGCTCATTCTCAGAATGCTCACTTGTTTTGGTCAGTTTTACACAAGCAGAATATATATACTCTCACCAGGATAAGTTAGTTCTGAATATGACATTTTCATTCAGAAATACGATTCAGCTACACAGTCCACCTCTCGTGAAAAGCTCCAGTTTAGCTACAGCCACCTCTAACAATGATCAAATCATTTTAGATGTGCCGTGAACAACTGTATCCAGCAGTGCTGACACTAAAAGCACCCTCAACAAAATATCCAAAACATTCAGGCCAAGACTTAGAGCCAATGTTTCCCTCATCACAAAATAAGTAGCCTATAATTATATAAACCAGCAATACATTCCTACATTAACACTTCAATATGGATTGCAAAACAGAAGCGACATCAAACTGTTGATTCTGCGCAAATGATGTACGTTTGGTTGATATGTTTTAAAAGGCTGCAGTATAAAACAAATGTGCAGATAAGACATGTTTTAAATGCACATTACCTCCCTATTGTCCATCACATTAATTCTACCACAATAAAGTTGGAGGCTGCCATCCCCAGTTAAACACGTTCCTATGCCTAAACGGGTTTAGGTCGCCCTCTACTGGTTGAACATGTGACGTGCAACTAATTAGCGTCAGGCTAACTACGCCACAGGCAGTGGTGGAAAAAGTACTCGGATACCATACCGAAGTAAAAGTAACAATGCAGCGATGTAAAAATACTCTTACTAGTAAACGTCCTGCATGCAAAATGTTCCATAAGTAAAAGTACAAAAGTATTAGCATCACAACATAAAGTGCTAAAAGTAAAAGTATTCATTATGTAGAATGGCACATTTAAAATTAATGATGATTAATGATGATTAATATGATTTGATTTGATTCTAATTACTGATACATTATTTTGCTCATTAAATTTAGAGTTGCATTTGGTAAAGGTCGAGCTAGTTGTAACTAGCATATATGCTTATAATTCAAATTAATGCAGGGTAGCTTTTAAATTTTATTGAATTGGTGATTTTTTCTTTTTTTATGATTATACTGTAATTCTTGTATTAATCTAGTTTCTGTTACTAGTAACTACACTTATAAAATAAATGTAGTGGAGTAAAAAGTACAATATTTGCCACTAAAATGTAGTGAAGTGGAAGTATGAAGTAGCACAAAATCAAAATGCTCAAGTAAAGTACAGATACCTCAGAATTGTACTTAGTGACAGGACTTACTGTAGTTACTTGTACTGTACTTTGTTAAATGTACTTAGTTGCTTTCCACCTCTGTCACAGGAAAGTCAACCTGACATAAACACAAATAACTCTATAAACCACCACCCCTTTCATTTTTCCTTATGAACAAATCAATTTAGGGCAAACAGTAGGCTACATGGTTGACATGTCAGTTATTCACACTTCTGTGGTGGGAATTATGACTTAAATTGATTATTTATACTTGTGACAGTGTAGTCATAATCATAAACTTTATTGCCAAGTATTATCAAAAATACAAGGAATTTGACTGCAGTTCAAATTCCAGGCCCCATCCTGTTTTAACACCTTGTAACCCTTTCACAATAAAGTTAGCTGTTATGGTGGAAGAAGCATATAGTGATACAGAAATCTCATACCTCATCATTATTATTCTCATTAACCTGCGAGTGTGGGTCTCCATTTGACTGAGGCACAACAAAGACACTTGGTTTTCCACAAGAGCACCACTAGAGGGAGGACCAACCCTTGAGCATCCATCTTACAGTAATTCACTGTGACATAAGAGCACAGATTCAGAGAGACATACTGTATGATACTGGATTAAGTAGAACAGAGGAGATTATAGCATCACATGGCGGCTCCTCTAAATGCTACCTGGCAGTAACCTACTTCCCCCATGAGCTTTCCCAGAATTCATTTGGAGTGGGCGTAGGCTCATGCAGCAGCAGCATCACAAAGGTTCAGCTCCTCCCTGCTGTATCCTGGAGAGATGGTGGGGGGGCAGAGGATCAGGGTCAGATGAGTTTCAGTCTGAGTGACAAAGGCAGTGTGCGCAAATGAATAGAAACGTGTATGTGTGTGCAAATGAATAGAAGCGTGTGTGTGTGAGAGAGAAGCTGCATCAGAGAAGGTTAGAGATAGAGAGAGAGAGAGAGAGAGAGGGGCTAGGGGTTTGTGTGTGTCTGAGATAGACAGGAGGAAATCCAGGCAGGAGGAGGAAGGGGACATAAAGGGAGGAAGAAAAGGGGGGGCAGGAGAAAAAATACAAGGGGACCCAGATTAAGAGGGAAGATGGCTGAGCCAGAGCTGAAATCACGGAGCAGTCGGGAGAGCGTTGCTAAGGTGGAGAGCCAGGAGAAGATGGGGGGTAGGTATAGTGCACACTCACGCTCACACAGGGCTGCATTATTCCACCATGTGCTCAGCCGGATGCAAGATTACATTTTAGTTTATGTGGCTATAGAGGTGTATCATGCTGTCTGTGGATTTGTAATGTAACAGGTGACTGTGATGCAAGTCTGGGAATTATTTCATATTACACAAAGTAGACCTCACCCTTAACTGGGCCTATAATCATAACCACCTGATGGAGTGGTCAGTATGTGTACATTTGGCTTTACACATACATGCATCCCTGATTAACCAGTGTGACGTGTTTTTAAACAGTCTATGCTACAAAACCTTCCTAAATTGCTGATCCAGAATGCACAATGTATTTATGCTTTGCTACTGGAGACACAAACTGACATTATAAAACAATGTCTGTTTTGCTTATTTTGTCATGTAAGGCAATATATTGGTATTACTCCTCTCCTTTCTTGTGATCACTAAGTGACTGTACCTCAAATACTGTATGTCTCATCTCTTGTCTCCTGTCTTCTCTCCTTCAGCTGCTGAAGCAGACGCAGACCAAGATGACCAGATTGTGGAGCAGCCAGTGTCTCCATCCACCCCCATGGTTCCTAATCCCACTGCCACTAGCCACACTAACGACTCACCGGCCAAAGGGGAGAAGATCAAGCTTAAACGCAGCATCACCCTTTTCAACGGTGTGGGAATGATCATAGGCACCATCATTGGTTCAGGCATTTTCGTCACTCCAACAGGTGTGGTCAAAGAGACCGGCTCAGCCGGGCTTTCTCTGATCATCTGGGCTGCCTGCGGAGTGGTCTCTACTATGGGTGCCCTGTGCTATGCAGAGCTGGGCACAACTATTGCTAAGTCAGGGGGAGACTACACTTACATCTTGGAGGTGTACGGTGAACTGATGGCCTTTCTGAAGCTGTGGGTGGAGATGCTCATCATTCGACCGTCATCACAATATGTGGTGTCACTGGTGTTTGCAACCTACCTTCTGAAACCTCTCTACCCAAACTGTGCGGTGCCTGATAGTGCTGCCAAGCTCATCGCCTGCCTATGTCTAAGTGAGTGGAGTAAATAACTTATGAAGCACATGTTTGAATCACTTCATTCCATAGATTAACTTTCAATTCCTGATTCCACTCTGTTTTGTATCTCCCACCTCCTGTAGCCTCCCTGACCTTTATAAACTGTATCAGTGTGAGAGCAGCCACTAAGGTCCAGGACCTGTTCACAGCTTCTAAGTTGCTAGCTTTGATCATCATCATCCTCTTTGGCTTCATTCAGATTTCCACAGGTGAGTTATCCAGTACTTAATCTAAAAGCAATGATAAATCCACACTAATGTTAAAATATCACCTGCACGACTTCCACCCGTTCTTTGTAGTTCAATCTATTTCACCAGCTGGTCTCATAATAATAACCTCTTTGTGCTTGATGCTAAGTTTAGCAGATGATGAAGTTATGATACATAACCATAGATTAGGTTAATGCTAAGTTTAGCAGATGATGAAGTTAGATGAGTTGATACATAACCATAGATTAGGTTCATACTTTTCTTGTTTGTCCCAACAAATGTTAGTTTCTTCACTTTGCATTAAGATAAGAGAGGGTATACAGTGTGCTGAGACAAATAAAATGATCAATACTATTACCATTTGTAGGTTTTATCAAGATCTATACATCTGCTATCTCCATCAATGCCCACTCCTTACATGTCTATATATTTTTTGTCTTTAATGATTAATACATAAATTGTTGACTAATGAGCCCAGCCAAGCAGACAGCCTTCCGCTCAATCTGTTAGTGGAGTTGCTCAGTCTGAACACTAGGCTTGTCTGTCTGCAGCCATGAGTGGGAGCAAGCACGCACCAATGTGCATGTGTTTCTTTGTGAGGGTTCTTTGAAGCTGAGCATACTGTAATTCATTTTGTATATGGCTCAGCCACAGAGCACGTATCTAAAAGAACATGAGGCTATAGAATAGACTTAGTCATAAAAGGAAAAGAAAAGATGATAATAAATGTAACAGTTTATCTTGTTGTCCCTAAAATTATGAACTGAATCATTCATACCATTGTCCTCAACATGGAGGGTGCTGGTGTGACTCACATGCAAAATGTCAGCTCCATCTTGAATAACAAGAAATATTCAATGAGCAAAGTGACTGAATCAGCTCCAGTCACACTATTCAAAAAAAAAAAAAAAAAAAAAAAAAAAAAAAAAGTGGGGGGTGGGAAGACAGTGTAGCCTTCGTTTGCTCTGTGCTACATCTGCTGCCCCCCAGTCCCCCTCTTCGGGCAAACTACGTTCACCATCATTGTGCTCTACACTGTGTTACTATGGAAACTAAGCAGGAAAGCTTGCCGGCTGTTGCCACACTGTGGTCTTTCAGAGGACAGAGTGAGACAATAATCTATGTGTAATAGGGCTCACGGAAAAGAGAGTCATTATCATCTGAAAGCGACAGGTAGAGGAAAGAGCCGCATAGAGAGAAAACTTCAAGTGCACACACTTTTGAACACACACATACACACACAGGTGCATTCAGTGATGCTGCTTTGGATTTGATAGCTGCTGTGAATAAGTGAGTGAAGTGAAGTACAGTTAACTGAAGATATTTCTGCTCATGTTTATATGTCTTGATCATGACAAAACCTGGTTGTATCCTACTGTCGGTGCTGCTTAAACATGGAGGCAAAGTGCTTAGGAGTACCAGCTGCCTAGCAGTCAACAGACTGGCTGTGAAAGACAAAATAAAAAGTGACAGCAGAGAATCCATTTCACGTAGATGAAACCACACAGCTCCTTTGTGAAATAAAATTGTACATGTGTAGCAAGGTTTCTCATTCATTTGTTCTAGCTTTCCCTCACTCCTTATTTATTCTGCACATGTGCAGGTGACGTGCCTTACCTGGCCCCAGAAAAGGCATTTGAAGGCAGCAAAATGGGAGTCGACCACATTGTCTTGGCTCTGTACAGTGGCCTCTTTGCTTTTGGAGGCTGGTGAGGCATTTGTGACTAATTTTGATGTAATTACAGAGCTTAAACTTGTTCATTGCTTTTCACTGCTGTTCGTCCCTAATTAATCCCTAAAATAGTGTTGAACTCTTTATTTTCATTCTAGGAATTACCTGAATTATGTAACTGAGGAGATGATCAATCCAGAGAGGTGACTTAAATGTGATGAAGGTTGTTTTGAAGATTGTACACACTCTCCTGTAAATATCTGCCAGCAGCATGACTACTCTCATCCATGACTGAGCTTGTTTGTGCATGGAGACACAGTATAGAAGGGCTGAATAAATGAACAAGAATACCAATATAATGCATCTGATGTTATAACATAAACTTGCATTGGATTGTGCGACATGATTAGAGGCTCTATTTGTTTTGTCTGCACCCATGTATGATGGAATATTGCTTTTTTTAATTGAGGTGCATGTAAAGCTTATGCATCTAGCACAACTGATCATGGTGTGCAGCTCTAATCATATATAAAAGTTTACTATTATGTCTGTGATTGAATTGCATGAAAATTAACTCAAATTCGATCACCAATCTCATAAATATAATGGTAACAGTGCAATATTATTAAAATATGTTGCTAGGGTTTTTAATGACCTCTGACCTTTCTCCCAACAGGAACCTGCCCTTGTCTATCATCATATCCATGCCTATAGTGACGGTGGTTTACGTTCTGACCAACTTGGCTTACTTCACTACCATCTCTCCTGAAGAAATGGTTGAGTCTGAGGCTGTTGCTGTGGTGAGCACTGCGCTTCTCTCATAAAGTTATTGGTTCTCTTTTTTTCAGCTTGCTTCATGTAGGTTTGTTTCTGACTGTGCTGGTTGGCAGAGTTTTGGCGAGTACCATCTTGGTGTGATGTCCTGGCTGATTCCTGTCTTTGTGGGACTGTCCTGCTTCGGAGCTGTCAATGGATCCCTCTTCACCTCAGCACGGTGTGTGTGTGCATGTAGAGAGTAAAACAGAATATCAATAGCATTTTGCTACTTAAAATTTTTCAGTTTGGGGCGGGATATAAAGTTAAGGAGAGATTCTCTGGTGCATGTGTGTTTAAACATTTTCAGAAATCTAAAATAAATCAAGTTTTGATTTTGGATTCCAGGGTTGACCATTAAAAATGTTGCAAAGATGTGGCTGTTTCAAGATGTGAGGCTGTTCTTGGTTGGTATTTTTATAGAGATGAACTATTTCATTACAAAATAGCCATGAAGGAGCTTTCTCCCTTCCAGGTTGTTCTATGCTGGAGCTCGAGAGGGGCAGCTCCCTGCTGCTCTGGGACTGGTCCACACAGACTTGTTCACACCAGTGCCATCGCTCATCTTCACAGTAAGACTCTACTAACTGCTACCAACAGAAATGATTTCTCTTTTTTGTCCAGAATTTACTATTAGACCCCCTTTAGCATCAAACCTGTCCAACAATCTGCATTGAGAGATTCAGCAGCAATGTTGTGCAGTTCAATATTCACTTGCTAAGAGCAGCTAAAAATCTGTTCTGAAAGCTCAACATCTATGCATTTGGTGAGGCATTTTTAGCATTATTATTTTTGGACAAACTGTTCTTTGTGTTATGGGACACTAACAATGACTTACTACATGTGAGAACTTTAAAACTAGTTTGGATGTTCACATTACATTTAGCAGAGCACATCCACAACACTAACTCTTAGAATATATTGTCAAATGTTTTGAAGAGTACAGCATGTGTGTCTATATGATATGCATATTAAACTAATACAGTATTGTCTTCTCTTTTCCTTCTGTTAGTGTTTTCTGTCCATGATGTACGCCATCTCCCAGGACATCTTCTCTGTCATCAATCTCTTCAGCTTCTTCACCTGGCTATGTGTTGGTTTGGCTATTGCTGGCCTGCTCTGGCTGCGCTTTACCAAGCCCGACCTCAGAAGGCCTATTAAGGTGGAGTACCCATGTGTCAAAGGTGTTATCACATGTGGCAAATGCTTGTTGCACTGGAGATCTATCTATGAAAAGTCATATTTAAAGAGACTCACTGTAAGATGCAAGACCTTCACGCTACCTGAACATCTGCTGGTTTCTTTGCCTTAAACAGCAACACGTCTCCTGGTTTCATAAAGTTTTCTTTGTTTTGTTTTTAATGAAAACACTATTGTATGAGTCCTGTTGTTATCAGTTGAAAGTAAATCCCAGATTTCATTTCTGGAAGGAGTGGTGACTCATTGTTTCTGTTTCACCAGGGGAATTTTGCTTTGACCGACCAGAGTCTTTCATCTTTCCTTTGAGCCTGAGTACTCTCAGCCTGTTTGTTTGTCAAGATGAAGCTCTAACAAGGACAAAATGGAGACCCCCCTTTTATGTATTTATAAAACAAGACAACAGTCCATTTTTCAGATGGAAGGACAACAATGCATTTTGATTCACTAGCACACAATGCTCAACTTGTGAAGCTGTATTTTAAAATAAAATAATGACATGTTGTTTGTTGGCTATTGATTTGAACCTGCAAAAGAACTAGTGTTATCAAATAAATGTAGTGGGTAAAAAAAACAACAACAATGCAAGTTTTCCATATAAAGTCATAATGTAATGTTTTACAGCAAACAGCATATGACACTTATAGGTAGAGATACAAGTATTATATAACCTAGATCAGGAATTTTGTGTGAAAAGAGACATTACCTACCGTTCATGTGTTTTTAAATAGTCAACCTGTCAAATAATAATCGTGCTTTATGTGTGCTCGCCTTTGTAACTGGAACAAACACCCTTAGTGATTGTGTTTTCTTCCTGCAGGTGTATCTCTTCATCCCTGTGACCTTCGTTTTGGGTTGTGTCTTCATGATCGCTGTGTCCTTCTGGGCAGCTCCTTTTGAGTGCCTGGTGGGTAGCAGCATCATTCTTACAGGCATCCCGGCATACCTACTGGGCTACAAGTGGAAGAAACCCCATGTGATCAGGAAAATGCTGGGTACGTTTTTTTTTTTTTACACTGTCTTAGTCTCTGTTCAGCCAAGGCTGGAGAAGATTCATTACACTTTGTTATGAAATTCATTTGAGAATATCCACTTACAACTGTGGGCACTAATCCATTTGTTTTTATGGTTGCTGTGAAGGAGTCAAACCAAAGGGCTAATCAAATGTTTAATAAAATCTAACAACATTTAATTAGTAACCCAGCTAAAGAAACAGACACGGCTAATGCAATGAGCTGTTTCTCCTTAGAAATCTTCACCATGTTCTGTCAGAAGATCCTAATGGCTGTTCCTGAGGAGAAGGAGCAACATGAGGCAGCAGACTAATGCTGGAAAGACTGAATGACACTGGCAGTTTTGGAACAGGAGGGATTATGTGAATGTATTCTCTTGTGTACAAAGTAAGTAGGCATATTTTATAAAAACTACAAAGTGTAAAATGTCAAAACGTCTTATTTAATATTTGACATTTAAACATTTTACACCACTTTTACTCAGTTTATTTCACTGTTGTACCTCCTTTAATGTTAAAACTTGGTTATATGTTACATGTTACGTAATGGAGACTCGTGCTTTGGTCTTAATGTGAGTAAATGTCGCAGGCACATAACTGATTCTACAAACACAGCATCAAAAGGCTGGATACAATGTGCTCTAGTGGCCTAAAACATCAAGTCTGTCGCTCACCTAAAGTGTACAAATGAGTAGCTTAACAAGACAAGAACAATCATTTAGCCTTTCTTTACATTTACTAATTACTAACAACCAAACAACACATGGTTTAACATTTTATAGAAAATGAGTTAAAATGATTATTCAAACACTGATTACATTCCACTAATACATAACTAATATTTGTTTTAAATTGCAATTACTTTCAATATTTGCATTTTTTGTATTTATTTGTGAAACGCATCCATAGCACTATCTAAAAGCACAACTCTAAATAAGATAAAACTGTGTGTGTGTAATGTTTCCTTAAGATGTGCTGCTGTGAAGCCGGTCTATCTAGTTCCTGTATCTTTTTATTAATCTATCAAACCATGTTAGTGTCAGCGCTCTATAATAGATGATATTTAATCACATGACAGTGGATACCAGCACCTGTTTGTGAAATGTTATTATAAAAACTGAAGACCTGTGTAGATGTCATTCTAGTCATTGCATTTAGGAAATTTCATTGTAGTGTTTTATAATATGATCTGTGCCAGTGCTGATAATCAGTTTTTTTCATCATCACTGTAAGACTAAAATGAATGCTGCAAATTTATTGACATCATCTTCACCTTTAGTTTTTTGTTAAATAGGAAATGTACCTATAAAAATATTTTTTTTTACTGAATATCTGAAGTTTTTCAAGCACAAACTCAGGCCATTCAGAATCCCAGTGGAGGAAGGTCTTTGTGGATAATGAAGATAGGCTGTGACTTGGGTGGGTTTGGGAAAAGTTTCTGGATTTTCAACAGAACAGAGAGACTGTACTCACAAAGAACATTCATCGGCTAGTGGACCGACAGACTCCGCTCGTTTCACAGAGAGTTCAGGTTTTAAATTAATTGAATGCATACTGGGTGTAGATACGAAACAGAAAGAGACTTTTTCCAGCTAGCTTGACAGCATTCTCTTAGTATGAAATGAAATGTGGGCCTTCTATCTTGAAGCACTCATCCTACATTATTTGTTCACAGAAACTGAACCAGGGAATCACAACAAATTGGACAATGTTAACTCAAAGTTTAGAAACACCATGAGGGAGGTAGATCCCAGGGGCAGCATCACCCCATAGCATTTTATGTTCATAGCTAATTTTAAGAAAACAAAGTTCATATGAAGACTTATTACAAATATTATAACATAAAGCACAATTTCCTCTACATGAGTTTTAAATCTTTAACAGTCACATAGTTGTGAGCACAACAAACAGCACAGTCGAAGAGAGGATAGTGTCCGGTATGTGCCCTTTACTTAACAAATTTGACTAAATTAAAGAGCAGGTGAGTCTAAAAACACACAGTATATCACTGATTGCTACTTTAAAGGTGAATAGCTTCTTCAATCATATGTTTTATGTTATGCACAACATCCTGTAAAAAGTATCACTGCAGGCTAATGTATGAATTGATAATGCCATTAATGGCATTTGCCTAATGAAATGTTAGAGGAAAAAAAATCTTACAGCATATTTTTAATCGTAAAAATGAAAAGTACCTATGTCAGTTATATTGTAACTGTCAGTGACTATGGCAGAAACATGTTACAATAAAAGTATTTTTGTTCAAATCTGGATTGCCTGTCTTTTGTGAAGCAGATGTCCAACAACAGCAGTGTTCCTCTGAGGGTTAAAGTCTGACTTCTCACTCACGTAAATGTAGTGGCCTAATATACTTGCATCAGTTAACAAAAGGCCAGGCCTAGCCTCTCTGCAGATAACACTTTCAAATAGAACAAGCAATCTCAAACCATAAGATAGCTTCTGTCCAAATGAGGATGTTTCGCAAGTGCAGTTTTCTAACAGTGGTGTTATCATCTCAGCCATCAAGTGTTTGGGTAGTGATCTGTATGAAATGCCCTGTCCTGCCTTGTTTGCCTCTCCTTGTTTGTTGCTTGTCAGACAATGATGCTGCTGATGCCTGTGCTGTCAGGAGGGTTCATATCCGTCTGAAAAGGAAATGAGATGGGCTGATGGCTACTGATGGAACCAGTATCAGAGCTGCTCGAGACAATATTAGTGATGGGAGATTGGACAGGCAGGGAGCCAATATTGCACAAGTGACATATAGAGAATTTTGATACCTTCTGCAAAAAGGGAGTGCATCATACAGGGACTTGACCAGTGCATTTAATCTGTAAAATTATAAAAGGTGAAGCAAAGCTCCAGTGGTTTCTACTTTTGAAGTGCAATCTAATATTAAAGCAAGTCAGCAGTTCTTTTGCTAGTGTCGTGAAAAGTGCACACACAAGCCAGGTAATTTCTTAAGCAGGAGTGAGTCAGATAACATTAAAACATAATATTAAATAAGTTGGGCTTATCATTAGAAAAAAATCTCAACATGCATGACTGAATCTCAATTTGGTCTTTTACATTTTTAACTAAGCACCATGCACGTGTCATTTTCACAATTTTTTGGCTGGTTTTCTGCTTTAAGCAAAATTATTTATGCATGGGGTTTCAGTTATTTACTGTACAATAGGGTGAGGTGAGACTGAGACAGTTTAACAATAGAACACATCATCAGTGTTTCCAAATAATTTAGAAGTCTGTGCAAAGCTGAGCTTTGTCTTTCATAAGACAAGGATTCTTTCAACGGGATGAAATCAATTCATTTGTCCTCTGAGCTTTTTGTCCTGTTTCAAACATGTTCTTGAAATGAAAGTACAGTTTATAATATAATATAGTATAAACTCTTATCTTTTGGGAAGCTGTTTGGCTTATTTTGAGATAAAATATGATTAGTTTTAATGTTAGAACAAATATTTACTGCCAGCACTAGACACTGCCAGCAGATGGAGACAGAGGAACATCAATAACAGATGGCAAAACCAGGTTCCACTCCAACTCTTTCCTGCTCTCATACACTTATAATCAGCCAAACAGCATTTGCATGAAATTCTCAATACATCTGCCTACAAAACTATGCATAAACTCTAATTTTTCCCACCATTTGTCAACATTTAAAGGATATTCTGCACAGGAATGTAACTTCTCAAATATTAATTTCATTTTATATTAAATTTTATATTTCCACTGCTAAGAACAATGACTTTTTCAATTCTTCCCCGTCACACATTTTAACCTGAATGCCCAGGTTCCCAGTAATCACAGTTACGGGTTAAGGGCATTGCTCAAAGGCAACGCTGTGATTGTAATGGCGGTATAGCAAATGCATTTGATGTCCTTTGTTGTTATTAAAACATTTCAGTATTACACTTCCATGTTAGTCAGAGTAATTGAGCCATAATTAAATAATCTCTCTCTTTGGGTGGGGGAACATAAAACCATTGATCGGGTCTGGATTTTGAAAAAAAGCAAAGATAGGAAAAAGTGTTAAATGAGCCATGTGACAACAGTCGCATTAACATCTGCAAAACCATCATAGATAATTCTCCTAATTAACCTAAGACGTGTGCAGTTATGTTTATAGGCTACTGCAGGTATCAAGTGCTACTCATTAAATTACTAGTGAATATGTAGTGACTTAGCAATGTAAACCACAGCAAGAGCATCTTAATAAGTTGAGACATGCAAGTCCATTTCTCCACTTTGAACATTTTATTACAGACAAAAGAAAACAAAAGAGTTATTTGTGACACAAAATGAATCTAATGCTGGTACACTGTTATTGCACCAACGGCAATTTCTAAAAAAAAAAAGAATTATTATTCTAATAATCAATAATAATAATAATAATAATAATAATAATAATGCACCCTGATAAAAATAAGCCAAAACTTTCTTCATATCATTCATAAATAGATGCGCAACCTGCAGCCAAATTAAATAGAATGACCATATTGTAAAACAAATGATAGTCAAAAAAAGCATTCCCTCTCATCACTGGCTTTAAAAATTAAAGATGTACATTTGGTAGGTTTAAACACAAAATTAAAATAACTCCCATGACCATTCCTCCGAAACGCAAATCGTGCTACAGTGAAAAAACAAAATATCTTAAGATTTTTTTCTCTTCACAAAAAATGATAAAGATGAGTTCAACACAATTCTAAAACACCTAATAAAACTAGTCAAAACTTTAAAACCCACTTTTTTTTTCTTAAGTAACATTTCACATTTAGCAACTTTTTTTTAATTCACCTGTACAAGTGGTGTTGGGATTAAGGGGTGGTGGGCGGGGTTACAGGTGGGGGCGGTCCTTATTGAACAAGAGGGGAGGGGCTAAAAGGAGAGGTTTTAACCTTTGACCTCTAGAGTTCCATAATGTCCTGAAGCCATGTGAAGAGAGTGACACTCTCTCAGAGCTCCGCCACTTAAGGAGGAAAGGGAGCATCTTTCAGTCTTTGCATTTCTCCCTTGTTTGGAGAAAAACAAGACCAGTGAACAAAGTTTCAACACAAGTTTTAGTGTGTGTATTCCCTCACTGAATCCACCTGCATGAAAATCACATAACCAAACAAAAAGAATGTTAAAAAAAATAATAATAATGCAAGGGACTGCAGCTAAATACACACATAGGAGGAATCCATTTTGGTGATATTTACAATCACTCAGTGAAAAATAAAGGAAATGAGGGAGTCCTTTACTGGGGATGATTTATAAACACCCTATGTGTCGTGGTCTCCGTTAAAATTTCCTTTCACTCAGTCGGGGTGTTCCAGTCTAAAGTACATCCACCCATGCTGAGGTGACTATATTCTAGTCTCCTGCATTAGCTTTTCTACTCAATACCTTGATGCTTTGAGTAAGCTTAGAGCATCTCTTCTCCCCAGTGAGGGCAGTCTATGGCAAACACAGAGTAATGGAGAGAAGAGGGGGGGAAAGCATCCTTAAAAAATTCAAAACAAGATGAGAAGACATTTTTTTTTGGTCTTCATTTCCAGTATGTTGGCATGAGCTTAAAGCTCACTGACCCTGTGGAAAAAAAAAGCTCACTGATAAGGAAAAAAGCAAGAGAAGTGCCTCAGGCTTCTGGCTGATCTAAGTGCTTGGCAAATAGGTGAAGTTACTGTAGCAGTCTTTGGAATTCTGAAAATCCATCAGAAGGAAAAAAAAGAAAAACAAAACGGTGTAGAATCAGATACATCGATGACATTGTTGTTATGTTGGAAAGCTCCCTGGAGTCTGACATTTGGAGGCCTTTCAGCTTCAAGTGAGGTAGAGAGGCTTGTCCCGGGCTCCCATTCCACTGCTGAGGAAAAAGGAAGTGTATTAATGTACGTCGGGCTATAAGGATACAGGTAAACACAATGATATTCTGATTACATGTGTATCTGTTAGACCTATATTTCACCAGGAAATCCCAGTAACATTATGAAATCTTGGTAATGCTTTATTTTACAGGTCCGCTATTTCCTAATAATTTCTTGAATGTTTCCTGCAAAGAACCATATAGTTTGTTACAGAAAAATAGAGACAAAGTTTTAAGACTGATTTTTTCTTACTTAGTCCACTGAGTTGTGGTGAATTTATTGCTGGCTTCCAGATGAATTTCCATGAAAGAAATTGCTCAATGCAAACCGCAGTTAATATTTAGTTATTATTAGTGTTCTACATTTATGCTGAATTGGATGGTTGTATGTAGACAAATTAAAAATTCTGCATGTGTTGTTCACCTTCTGTCCTCTGAATAAAAGCCTCAGGTTTGTGCTAGCTAACTGGAAGTGTACCAACTGATCGCTCTCTAATTGCACCGGTAATTAGTACCAAATTATGTGGTGCCTTTCAGGAATTTTCTTAGAAAATCATTTAATAAATTGGAATTTACAGACCTGTAAAATAAAACATTACATTAAATCTTTTTTTAAACATATTTCATAATCAGCTTGAGAAAGCAGCTGCATAGCAAACATAAAAGCTGTCGACAAACAACAGATGTAGCAAGCAAGACAAATACAAAAGTCAGAATTTGCAGATCACTTGGTACTTGAAATGTCAAATACAAAGTCTGTTCCTCATTTTATCTTCACTGGCACACAAGAAATAATTCAGTAATCTCCAAACTACAAAGATCTGACACTAAGGAAGAAGGTTTAAGCAGACTCAATCTACTTCAAAGTGCGTCAAACCGTATTTGACCCCCATTTGACATACAGATGAATCAGCTCCAAATACAGGAGATACTGACTTCCAGCTCAGCTGCCTCTCATCATAGCAACACCAAGCTTCAGGTGTGAGACAGCATAACATTCTTCTTGTACCTGCTTGAATAGCTTGATTCAATAAGCTAACGTGTGCCGCATGAGCAAAACGCACAGAAACTTAATTGGATGTCACACTTTCCAAGCACGGTAAAAGCATTGTTCTGCTACGGCATTTGTCATTTTAGTTTCAAGGAGATGCTTTGCTTTAAGCAGGAAAATCGCAGTTTATGATTAATACTGTCTGAGTCCTTCAGTGTGAAAATGAAGTGGTTTAAAATGGCTCATTTGGAAAATGAGCAACTGTCAGACTTGCTATTCTTAACAATCAAGTTTCCTGGATAGCATTTTGACACTCTTTTGTGGCTTCTTTCTTGTCTGTCACACAACACAACATTACCATAACTCAATATGGTAAATGATGTAATGAGCTCACCCGCAGTGGTTTGGTCCACAGTCCCTGTTGCAGTACTCACTGTCCCAGTCGGGGTTCTGGCCATGCACCGGGTTAGGGGCCCCTGGAGACTGTGAGCCCCCGACACTATTCTGGTAATCAGTCTGAATATGGGAGAATCCCTGTAGATTGGAGTGTAGATGAAAAAATGAGAGGAGAGAGGAGGTTACACTGGCCTAGATTTGCACTACCATGATACCGTTTAAGGTGAAATGTTGTCAGAGGATTTTATCACTTGCTACAGAGAGTGGTAAATAGGAAGAACACTTTTTCCTCACTCCATTTACACTCACTACTTGGTTAAAATAGTTCTCAAAATCACATGTTTTACATCAACATGACATCCCCTGCTGGAGTGGACACATGGCAGGGAACTAGGAAAGAGCTGATTTGACACCAAAGGGGTATTAAAAGAGTGACTGTTACCTATTATACAATACAGTAAGAGAGAGCTGAGAATTTTCCCATTTAGAAGACAAAAACAACTGAAAATATTTAAAATTGTTTTATATCGAGAGAATTACAACTACAACTGTTTTATGTATTTTGATAATACCATGTTTGTTACTTTTTGATTCTTACTGCTGTAACAGGGTGAATTTCCCCATCGTGGGACTAATAAAGGCTTATCTTATCTTTGCAACCCAGGGTTCTATGACATATCAACAATGTTTTTAGGTAAGTATATATAAATACTTAACTATATTTAAAAATAACTGGAAATATAATTGTTATCCTATCATTCAACAATAGTCAGACCAACCTGTTGGGTAATTGGAGGGGAATGCAAAGGTGCCTGGAGCCCCATTTGGTGTGAGATGATTGGCTGCGACTGCTGCATGCGGATCGGCTGGTTGAGCAGGGAGCTCTGGTGCAGGGAAAGCTGGGCGTGGGGGTGCAGAGGTGGGCTGATCTGGAAGGGAGTTGAGGGAGAGGCACTCATGCTGGGCGGCAGCATCTGGGATTGGGTAAGGGTCGGGGCCAGGGTGTGACGTGGGGGCCCGCCATAGCTCTGGAGGTCTGACAGGGGGAAGGTGCCTGGCGGACCCAGGTAGGGTGAGGAGGGCTGGGGAGGCACGGTGTACAGGGGCTGTTTCGGGGACAGCAGGTGGGAGGGCTGGCTGGTCTGCTGGGCACTTTTTGGTTCAGGGTCATTGTATGTCTGTGGATGAAGAAGAAATTATTTTGATAAGACAATAATTTTTCATCCATTAAAAACATGTTAGCTTGAACTGAAACCCTCAAAACATCAAAATAAATCATTTAGTATCCATTGCATTTAAAAAAGCCCTTTGTCTTGTATCGTGTAGGTAAAATCCATAATTTACTGAGCAGGAAGTGCATTGGATATGCAATGGCTACAGAAGCTGCAGAGATGTTCAGGGAGCTACTTCTGTTGTTTGTTTCCAAGGGAAATAGTTAAGAAAAGGTTTGGGAAATATGCCTTTACTCCACTCTTAGATGAGGAGATAACAGAGTCAGGCTTGCTGTCTCCCTGTTTTTAGTCTACGTTAACCGTCTTGTGGCTCAACCTTCATATTGAATTGACCTATTCCATCCATCCATCCATCGCTTTGCACTCCCTGGCCTAGCCACGGTCATTTCTAGCAATACCAACAGTGGACAAATATAAGAACACTCAGGTTGAAAATTACAGAGAACATTAACACACGTCCTCATTGCCCTCCTTTTGCTTGATTCTATCCAAATTCTCAGCTGCTTCACTCCGGAGCCGCACCTTTATTGCTTCTTTGTTGCACCTGTACAACCCAGTTTCAAGAGGACATTTGATACTGAAAGCTTCCAACAGCAAGTCCTTTTTCAGTATATTGACAATCACCATGTAATGAGACTGTATAAATGTATATTAATTTTCAATCTATCCTTCAGCTGACAGCCTTCAATATTCACTTTGCACCACTTCACACACATTTGTCGACAGGTTGATGGATTAGGAAACTGGGTCAAGTTTGACAAGGGCTACAGTGCTTGAAAGGAAAACACCAAACTCAGCCAAACTTGACCCTTATTCCATTCTGAACAGTATTATTTTGAGCAGGTGCGCCACCTACAAAACACCCCACCTCCACATCCACCCTGCTCCACCCTCTCCAGGCTTTTATGATGAGCTGTCAGATTGCTCACCTCCAGCCATCAGTGTTGATTAGAAGGTAATGGAGCCCATTTGTATGAATAGAGCTGGGGCCAAGGTAATGATCAATAGACACCTTGACAGATAGATGGGGAAAAAGATAGGGCACACACACACACACACACATATATATATATATGTATATATATATATATACATGCAGGCAGAGAAATGAGGCTGTTTGCCTGGAGAACAATTGGAATGACAAAAGGCATCTTCTCCACACTACATTGTGTGTTGTTAATACAAGATGGCACTAAACAGTGCAATTCACAACCCTCCTTTATTCCCTTAGTATGCTGGTTTATACAAGATGCCATTATTCATAGTTTAAAAAGGATGTTACACATCTGAATTAACAGAAAGGGGTCGGTGGCGGATACGCAGCAAAGCCATTTGGATGTACTTCTTGTTTTAGAAAAGGAAATAGATGATCTAATCAATGACACAGGTGCTGGTGTAAAATCACTTTTCTATTCTTCCGATTTTCTACACACATACAACACAGTATGTATAGCAAATGAGAGAACAATAATTTTCTATCCCCCATCTTTCATGAACAGTATATACATATGCCTGTGTGCTCTGAGTGGCTGCCCCCTCCCCCAACCCTACATCAGTGTACCATCTACAATCCCCAACCCCCAACATCTGCACCCTATGGAAATCAGGTATTGTTCCAAATATTGCCTGCTCTTTTTTGCATCAAATGCCCCCACGCACTCCACCACTATTACCACCTTGTCCCAAAGAGGCCCCACCCAGCCCATTAGCAGGGACTTTCCACCCAATCCATCATCGATATTAGCCAGGGCCTGTGTATTATAAGCATTACCTTGGAAACCAGACTGGCTCGGTATGCAGCCAAGGCTTTCAGATACTCTTTCTTAGCTGCTTCAGTTTTCCTCTTGTACGCCTGTGGGGGGGAAAAAGAAAGAAAAAAAGTCAAAACATGAGGCTTCAGGTGAGAGGAGAGGTTGACATACTTATAAATGTGCAGACACACATCTCTCAACACACAGTATTTTTTTTTTTATCACAGTCTAACACTTTCTTAAACACATCCCCCACACCTGCATGCACATTTACATACACACCCATCCTAAATGTTTCCCTTTCCATCAGTGCCAATGGTACAGAACACCACTGTTTCCTCATCACGGCACTAATACGCCCTCATCTCAATGTGTCTCTCTCTATTATAAAAACACATCATTTCGATTCCAATCCACCTAGGGAAATGAACTGGAACTTTTCTCTCTCTCTCACCCTCTCCATAATAACACTGGTTATTAACACTGAAATGGTTGTTGTCATTTGGCACATTAGGATGTGATCCCTGCCTGTGTATGAGTTTTGTTTGAAACTACCTTCTATACTGTTACAGTGATGTACAAACTCCTGTTGTCTTACAACCACAGTAACTGCTGCCGTTGTATTTGCTTAAAGAAAAGGACATCTGCATGTCTGTGCTTACACCCAGGCATTTTTCTTAGTATATAAGGCACATACAAGAATTGGAGTGTGTCTGTGCAGGATATATCAGTGTCTGACAGTGGGGCTATTGGCTATAAGCAAGTAATACTAACATCAATATGAGTACTGATACTGATCACATTTTTGATACTCGGTGCAACAGACACATTTCAGTTGGTTTTAAAAAGCACTGAGGTTTGATACCCAGGTGCTTGCTGAACATGCTCCAGCACTGATGCTTGAAGAAACAGTATGGAAACGTAAACAGTAGCACTCTTAAATGCAAAATATGTAAAGCAATGCTCTTTACACAGTATCCTTTTTTATTTTAATAGAAGAGCTTGCTCATCCCAAAAGGACTGATAACAGAAAAAAAGATATCCTTAAATCAAAACATCATGACCTCCTCTAACTGGCATCACTAGCATTTCCTACGTATTACTGCTGAGATGGAGATGACGTTAACTAGCAACAATAACAACAGGCTACTCTTCCTGGATAGCTGAGATGCCCTTCAGCTAAATCCAAGGACGAGACAATAGTGGGGAGGGGGATCACTAATTCTGTATTCTAGGCAGGATCAAAATAGAAGGCAAGAGATATAAATAAAAAGTGTGGAAACGAGAACTTCACACATCTCCGCTTGTCAGAGGGCCAATGAAGATGCATGGTGCGGAGGCATCAGCTATAGAGGCTGGAGGGACACAGGAATGGATCATAACTGGGCCTAGAGGCTTGTGGGAGTTTTGTTTCAACAAAGAAAATGACTTTTTTCATTATGTTTTAGGAAAATGCACTTTAGTTTTGATGGGCACTGCTTTCTAAAAAAAAGCCTTTGCATGGTGACAGCTAGAAACAAGTAGAGCCAGGTACGGATCTAGAAAATTTTTGGACGGGCTGGCCAGGCTGGGCACAGACTACGAGATGGGTGACACATTTGAAATACATGTAAAAGGTAAATTAAACCCCTGGTTCTGTGAAACAATAAGCCATACATTATTAGGAAACAATAAAGGTTAGACACATGGTGCTTTCTTTAGCTACATTTGGCTGTTCTCCTTATTCACTCCAATCCAGGGACAGCACTGCTGCACAGTGGTTCCCCCCCCGTCACTGAGGTGAATCATACCAAGTACTACACAACACAATCGGAGAAATGAACGCAAATATCATGCTGCATGCACAATATAAAATAAAACTAATTTGACCAATATCAATTAGTGAGTAAGGCATCAAAAAAATGTTTTATTTAAGGCAACCATTTTTCATTTTTCATTAATTGATACTGACAAGCATCACATTTTGACTCTGGTAGGGGTGGCACCAGGGATGGCCAATCAGATTCTGCCCAGCAGAACAGGGTTTGTAAGTCTGTGTGTGCACTCATATGTGTTTGTTTGCATTTGCAGCACATGAATCTGAGTGTACGCACCAGTGCTAGACTCCTGAAATCTCCCCAGATGCATTTATATTTTCCCCATATTGATCATTTCTTGACTGTAAAATGTCCAACTTAGTCTCAGGCTCTTTTACGACTATTGTTGCTCAGAATACTCCCCCACCTTTTCCCTCCTTCCCTTTACTAGAATTAAATTTAGAAAGAAAATCATTTTAATGAGAGTCAGGGGAGCGGGGATAACTGGATGGATTATCTTTAGAACTAGCTCATTAAGGTGAGCTGTATCTCACAGCAATGTTCTGGTAATTACACAGCACATAATGCCAAGGAGCGTCTGCTCGCCTGCTGCAGCACGCATGCCATCTACTGGTGGGCCCACACTGTGATACCACTGAATACATGTGTTCATGTCGCTGTCTGCTTGTACATGCACACACACATATATCTATATAACTGTACATTATTGATCAATTGTGCAAAGAAGCATAACATGCTGAGGTAATAGTACTCCCTTCCATTTACGCCATTCTTTTTTCACTAGTCAATAAAAAGAGAATTTTTTTTTTTTTTTGTTGTCCAATTTTTAAAGTGTTCAGCTGTTCTTCACAGCTGTTAGAGACTCCTTTGTGTTTCCACATCTGTTTTGCTGCTTCAGATCATCCAGACCTGCATATTTGGTACCTGCTTCTGTTCCTCTCCTAAGCTGTCCCACATGGAGGCCACAATCTTGGAGACGTCCCCAAATGTGGCGTTAGGGTTTTGACCTTTGATGGCCGCCTGGGTGTCTCTGAAGAAAAGCGCATAGGCCGACACAGGTTTCTGTGGCTCATTGGGATCCTTCTTCTTCTTCTTCTTTTGAGGTTTGGGCTTGGGTTTCATCATTTCAGCTGAGGACCGCTTCTCACTGCTTATCTGGAGGTAGAAAGAGGGATGGAGAAGATGAAAGAGAGAAAATGAGACAAAGACATTGTTGGTCATAAATCAGTTGATGAAAAAAAACTCTTCAGTATGCAGTGTGTTTATGAGCATGAGGCACTGACTGGATACAAAGGTTTAATGTGTTAAAAAAGCCTCAGCACTGTGCATGTTGATGGTCAACATCAATAAAACAGCCACGCAGAATATTCAAAGAATGCAGAAAGCAGTAGCATTCTACGAAGAGCAGCCAGAGCTTGTTCAGAGAAGACAGAACAAATCAATTTACAGACATGGGTGAATGAAGACTAACAGGATGTCAGTCAGACAGGTCAGCCTCTGGGATGTTGGATGGGGTAGGGAGGTGTGGTTCAGGAGGAGAAACTGGCCAAACATGGGATAATTAAACTCTAATTGCCAGCTGTTTCACAGTGTTGCTATTTTATCGGTTGTTAAACTGCTGTATCCACTGATATTTTCATATTTTCCTTCAATCTTTATTTCGTCTCTTCTACGTAGTTTATACAGAATTCTGTTCCACCTTCTAAGAAAACCAAAAAAGGATTAAATCTGTATTTTTCCTTGGATGTACTTGGTTGGTTTGTCAACAATAACACATTGCAATCTCACTGTATTTTCAGGAGGCAAAAACTGCTCGGTGTGATGTACTCGATCCAATACACATGAATACATTTTCATTTTCCATGCAGTGCTTTGACGGGGAGTCAAATCCAGGTCACCTGATCCTGGTTGTGATTCTATATGGAAATTACCTTCTTTGCTGAGAACATCAAGCACGAGAGGAAGAGGGAGAGGAAAGGAACGGGGAGTAAGTGAGAGAGAGAGATAAGGACAAAGAGAGAGAGAGGAGGTGCAGCTGAGAGGATGGCAAGAAAAGAAGTGATGGCCTGATGTTGCCATTAAAATCTGTGGAACATCAGTTAACTTGATTTCTTGGTCGCTATGAAGGCAGAAAAAAAACAATCCATTTTCCATCCATATAATAGAAGCGATAATGACATTCTGAATACATAATGATATACACTGGTTTATGTGAAATGAAGGATATTTATGTGCACAATTTCTGGTCGTGATGTTATGGAGAGTTACTTAAATGTTGCTATGGGGTTTGAATGAAGCGAGAGTGAACTCCTTTCTTTTATCAGCAATGAGAACCAGCCTCCATGGCCAAGTTCTTATTTCATCCCGTTCCATTTTAGACATTTTAAAGAGCTTTAAATGTTTCATAATCCACTGATCCTTGGTCTCAGCGTTAAAATTCAGCAGGTGGGAGATGAAACCATGAAAAAGATTTGTCCCTGCGCGAGTATCAAACAATAACTTGAAAACATTTAAAGACGTCCACATCCATCTAATGCATACTTATCACAGGATTAAGCAACAGCCATGTTTTCCCCTTTAACTGTCAACTGGTAAACAGGCAATGATTGCTTTTGAAAATCTCATTGTTTCAGCAGAGCATTTGCCAAACAACACATTGTATTCCACACGGCATGAAATTAACTAGTCAAAATTCAAGGTCCAGGAGCACATTTGGCAGCTGAAGAGAAACTTCAAAATGGCTTTTGTGGCGTGCCAAAGTAAATGGACGTTCCCATTCGGGGTAATGTGAAAGTACTGCTTGTCTGTTTCACAGCTTACAGGTAATATTCTTTTCTGAGTATGCCTGGCTTCATTAAAAAATAATCATCCCTCACTTTTAGGTAATGAGGCAGAAGACAGGCATTTGAAACGACATCTGTTCAACCCAACCCTTTTAAGTTAAAATAGAATAAACTGCAGGTAGAGCTAATGGAATGACAAAACAGAAAAAAAGGAGGCAAAATAATATTCAGGAAAATACACATGTATTCATACAGAGGAGAGCGTGATGACATACAGTACAACATCTCACAGCAATATGCAATCACCAGGACAACAAGAGGCAAATTTTTCATTTCTTTCTTTATTTTCCCCTCTAATTGCATGAGAATTGTGTTTGTGAACTCATACAGCAGAAGGCTGACAAAGGAAGATAAAATATCACTGTAACTGAAAGACTGAAAAGAATACAGATAAAATATGGATGAATATGGTTCAATATAACTCTAAAAAGAGCACAATAAAACAGAACTCTGCTCACTCTACTGTAATGGTGTTAATATTCATTCTGAGATTTTTAATCTGTGCCTGCTTTGTCAACACCCATGTTCCCATAATTTTTAAAGAGTAACTTTAATGGTTGAAGAGAATGCAAGAGTAGGTGTTAACTTTTAATACAAGAAGGCCAAATTATTGTAAAATGCATATACAGTATCTTCATTGTTATCAAAGAAATTTTTGCCAAGATCATTTCGCATTAGGATATTAAACTTGTCTCAGTGTAACTAACAGGTTGTTGCTTTTACATGGTATGAACAACAATCTATTTTTGTGCTAGAAATGACAAAATACAAGTGTGAAATGTAAAGTGCCTGGTTGTCGTGCTCATGCCCCAGACATCTACAGTATGAAAAGACAACTACATTTCCTTGTTTCAACAAGCAGACCAAACTGAAGTACAGATGCAACGAGCACAGTTTTCATTGCTAAAGTGATATACAGTGTCTACAATAAGGAAGTGTAATATTTATGATGTTTATAAACTCAATAATCTTGTACAAAATCCTTTTAATTTTACTACTTGTGTCAAGTCACTTAAAACTAGTTTTAAATAGTATTTTTTTAAACAAATTAATTTCAAGTAAGTTGTACTTGGTCCTTTTTGTTTGGTTATAACAAATGTTCTCTAAATTCATATTTGCTTGTTTTTAGGCAGCAGTTTTCTTCAGTGGTTCTGCTGAGTGCATTTGACTGGAATAAAGGTCACATCAGATTTCACATACTGGCTATTATGTGTATGAAATTACTGGAAACAGTGGTTGCTTTGTGTCTTCCCCTTTCCCTTAATCACAAACATGTTCATTAGTGTTTGTTCTTGCTGGTTTTATAGATTACTGATGATGAATAAACACATACATGTATCTGCCGTACAATATCTGTCTTATTTTCCTCGGCTTTCTCCTGCTGGGGCACAGAACTTTAATGATTATGGCAGCTGTTGTTGTCACTGTTGACAAAAAGAGTCACATCCCTTATTCACAGTAATATCTTGTGGCTGCACTGCATTCCGCTCTATTTTCTGATACTGTCAGTGGGAGATTGGTATCTGGTCCTCTTCGCTGATGGATTTCTCCCTGTGTGACTGTGGATGCAAACCGGTGAGTGTGTAAAGTAGCTCTTTGATTACGATGCGCTAACACTGGATCCTGATGTTTACCATTTGTATTTGAGACTCTTTATCTCCTGTCCTGCACCACTGCCGTTGTGCTGGCGATATCTTGACAGCACCTGATGTTATTTTGACTACAACAGCCCAGCTACCCACAATAATCAGTAAAATTGCTTTACAAACAACAGACTAGAAACGCAAGCCTCCTTGCTTATACGAAATTGCTACCAATTTGAAATTGAGGTTTAAGCCAGGCCTCTGCTCCCAAACCCAACCCTGTAAATGACCCATTAGCTTCTCAGTCAGTGGGGAACAGGGACAGAGCTCATTGCCTAATTAATAATCACTATTATAATGATTATGCAGTGTCAGATGATGATGATGCAGGGTGAGGGAGCTACTGGGTGGCTACAACATTAACTGCAGTGGTACAGAGGTCTGCTTTGGGTCAATGTCTACTTTAAATGTAGCTTTCAAAGCAATCACTGACCTGTTTTATATACAAGCTGGCAGCAAAGAAGCACAAGCACATCTAAAGTAACCACACCATTCAGTAGGTTAACAGGCCGATCCTATGATTTGTTCATGAGTCTTAAACTATGCAGATGGATAACAAATAACACACAAACTGTCAGATACAGTAGTTATACAGTAGACTGCTGATACCAACACAATGCTAAAATACAATATGTTTCATTTAACAGGAAACCCAAAGTTGGCAACTTTAACCCCCCCTAAAGAACTATCCCTAAATAAGTCTTAAAAAGTGAGAAAAGAGAGAAAATCTTTATCTAAATCAGGAGGTATCTTGTTAAAGATTGACAGTGAATCTGAGTCTGTACCAAAAAAGCATTTAGAATCAATAACCAGCTTTAGCCTTGATGAAACCAGAGGATAAAAATATTTTTTCTTTAGTTTGTGGTACTGATTTTCTCCATACAAAAGGAGGCATTACCCATCTACAATGCACATCAACATTAATGCTAAATAGTGATTAAAAAGCTATGTTTTACAGATTGCAGAAACATCACATGATGCTAGGTAAGACTAACATGTCCTGTATAAAGCATTAGTCTAGTCTAAAGTCTGACCTATAGTGTTAGCCTTACAGTTTGCTCATCTGATCACCACTCCTCCATTTGTCAGAGCGAGAAAGTGAAAGACAGAAAGAAGGAAGGTGTGGTGGGTGAAGGGAAGAGATAGAGAGGAGGGGGCAGCTGTAATTTAGAATGGACAGCACTGCGCTAGGAAGACACGATTAGAATTGACAGCCTGATAACTGCGTCACTATCAAAATAGCAGAGAGTGAGAAATAGACAGAAAGAGGGAGAATGATAAAGTATGTGAAAGAGAGGGGAGTAGAAAGAGTGAGACAAGAAGAGAGGTGATGTAAAGAGGACAGGCACATAAAAGGAGAAGAGGAGGTGGAGAGATGTAAAGAGAGTATTTAGCACAAAGAAGAACAGGTGCAGACATAGAGACTGACAGACTTAAGAGACATAAAAATTAGACAATAAAACCGGGTAATGGTATGGCAGAGTATAAAAGAGTTTGGCCAATCACAGCCTCCTGAAAATAAGCATCATCATCATCATATACAGGGAGCAGCAAAGTGGAGACTGCTGCACTGTGAATCGATTTAAAAGGCCATAACATAAAAACTAACAGGACCTGCTCAGAGATGATGCACAGAGACACTTTCTCTTTACAGTGATAGTCATTACAC